TTTCACACAGTCTGGGAACCTCCATTCTCACCAGCGGACTCACACAGCAGAGAGGCCGTATAAATGTACTGACTGTGCAGAGACCTTTGTTTATCTCAATCAGTTGAAAGCGCACTCTTGTTTTAAAACCTGCCGTCATTGTGGGAAAGTCTTTACAGATTCAGCAACTTTCAAAGTTCACCTGAGAAACTGTTTTGAAACCTGATGAAGCGAACGGTAAATAATTTGCTATTTTGCTCACTTATAGTAGTTATTTCTCTTTAAATTTCTTCAATAATTCCTACTTACCTCAAACATTCGCATTTATCTTCTGACCTTTCACTCTTCATGTTTGGACAATGATGGATTATCAGGATAAATTTAATGATTCCTCACTGCCAATGATGTTTGGATATTTGGTGCCAAGTTGTTCCAGCCCAATGCTGGATCCTCTCAGAAATTGTATGTTAAGACTGAATTTTCAAATTGTTTTATCTGATTAAAGTAATTGAAGAATGTGTTTAATCTTTGTGAATCTTTGTCCCGCAGACCGGTTGTTTACTGTGACAGTGAGAGGTCACTGCAATTGTTGTTGTTTTGTTGCGTTCTAGTCATGTCTGTGTGGGTGACTGAAAATGTAACCACTTTATTGCTGCTAATCCCCACTTGAACTTCTGCCCTCGTTCTGTATGCCTGACAGGAAAGACAGTTACAATGGTACTTAGACTCCTATATGTGTATTCCGCCATATGCAGACAAGTTTGAATTTTATTACACTTTTTGTCATTTGAAACTTGGGATGTTTTCTAACATACTGTTACAAATTTTTGAAATAAAGTACATCGTTGGAAAAAAGAGAATAGAAGTGTTCTTGTTTTATTCGTGGGAAATTCCTTTTTCTGATGGATGTAGCTAGGGGGAAGGTGAAGTCTAATAGTTCCTTCCATCCGTTCTCCTTGCCTACCTTTTTCCCTGGTCCTGCCTTCTTCCCTGACTCCCATCCCTCTTTCCGTTCCTCCTTTTCCTCCTATCTGCCGACCAGCATTTCTGTATCTCAACAGAATTTTTGAGATTTTGGGCACACCATCATACGACTAGATCCTACCACACTTGTGAACATTTTCTGTATTGGCCATTACTCTGGGTGGGATGAACACTCCCACTTGCCAACACTGAACATGGCGGAGACTTGCACCCCTCCCCTCGAGAAGGATGTCTTGGGTCCGGGTGTGAAATCGAGTGATTGCCTGAAGTGGCAGCAAGTGAAAATCACAGCTGACTTACTGAACATATACACAGCTTTGAGCTCATCGCACAATGCAACCTGAAATTAGTTCTCTTTTGGAGGTACCTGTTTCTGAAAGGTGATTTTTTTAAAAAAAATTACTAGTTTCTTGATTGATCTTTGTTCTGGAATGTATCCATGTCAGTATTTCCTTGATTTTTTGAAAGCATATCAGGAAGTGGTTTCCCAGCAAAACAGATGATTGTCCACTGATTTTAAACTATCAAGCACCATTGTAATTTAAAGGATGCATTATTTATGTAAAAAGAATTTATGATCCATGGACAAGTTTGTCTGCAATCTACTCATGGCATATGTCAATTTCTTCGAACTTATTTCGTATTTGGCAATGTTTGACTTAGCAGATGGTAAGATAACACCAATCTATCCATTTATACATATCAATACCACTGGGCAGTCCATATTTCCTCGATTCCCTTTTTTAGTTTGAGAATTCCAGATTTTATTCTTCACTTATTCTTCCTCCTTCCTTTTATACTCGCACATGAACAGATAACTGGCCATCAGAATTTGGATAATTCTGATGCAAATATATAGGAATAGATTAATCTCCAAACAACTCTTCTTGCAGGTTGTGAGGGTGCAAGGCAAACTCACAATCTCAACTTAGAACCATAGCCAATTAGTATATGAACAAGTATTATCAAAATGGTTTTGCATAAAAATGGAAGCTGAAACAGTCAATGTCCAAATCCCAGCCTGGCTATAAAGTAGAAAGTAACATTGGTGCCATACAAATGCTTGGCAATGGCTATCTCCAATACGAGAAAATCTACCCAACTGCCCTTGACATTCACTGGTGTTACTACCACTGAATTCCCCAGTCTTAACATCCTCGGGGTTACCATTTACCAGAAACTCAACTGGACTAGCCATTTAAACAATGGCTACAAGAGCAGGTCAGAGGCCAGGAATACTGCAGTGAATAACTCACCTACTGACTTCCCAAAGCATGTCCACCATTTACAAGCCACAAGCCTGAAGTTGATGGAATACTCCCCACTTGCCTGGATGAGTGCAGCTCCAACGATAGTCAAGAAGCTCAACAGCATCCAGGGCAAAGCAGTCCAATCAATTGGTGCCACATCCACGAACATTCATTCTCTCCAAGGAGCAGGGGGATCTTGGGGTTGATGTCCACAGTTCCCTGAAAGCTGCCACCCAGGTGGATAGAGTTGTTAAGAAGGCGTGTGGTGTGTGTTAGCCTTGATTAATAGAGGGATTTAGTTCAAGAGCCGTGAAGTTATGCTCCAGCTATACAAAACCCTGGTTCGGCCACATCTGGAATATTGTGTCCAGTTCTGGTCGCCTCATTACAGGAAAGATGTGGAAGCATTGGAAAAGGTGCAGAAGAGATTTAGCAGGATGTTGCCTGGAATGGAGGGAAGGTCTTACGAGGAAAGGTTGAGAGAGCTAGGGCTTTTCTCTTTAGAACGACGAAGGATGAGAGGTGACTTGATAGAGGTGTACAAAATGATCAGAGGTATAGATAGAGTTGATAGCCAGAGACTTTTTCCTAGGGTGGAGGTAGCTATTACGAGGGGGCATAGTTTTAAAGTGAGTACAGGTAGATATAGGGGAGACATCAGAGGTAGGTTTTTTACTCAGAGAGTGGTAGGAACGTGGAATGCATTCCGGAGAGGCTTGTGGAGTCGGCCTCATTAGGGGCATTTAAGAGGCTATTAGGTAGGCGTATGGATGATAGTATAAGGTAGGGGTGGAGGTTAGATAGACCTTAGGTTTCGGGTAAAAGTTCGGCACAACATCGTGGGCCAAAGGGCCTGTACTGTGCTGTACTGTTCTGTGTTCTATGTTCCACCACTAATACTCAGTAGCAGCAGTAGGTACCATCTATAAGATGCACTGCAGAAACTCATCAAAGATCCTTAGACAGCATCTCTAAACCTGTGACCTCTAAACTCCCATCAGGAGGACAAGCAATTTCTCTGCATCGTTCGCCATTACCAATAATAGATGGTAAACAAACAGTAAGTGAATGTTGTGTGGAGCTGGAGGAACACCGTAGGTCAGGCAGCATCAGAGGAGCAGGAAAGTTGACGTTTTGGGTCGGGACCTTTCTGCTGTGTTCCTCTCCAGCTCCACACTGTGTTATCTCTTGACTCCAGCATCGGCAGTTCTTACTATCTCGTAGCTAGGAAAAAGTTGTTTTTTAATGCAGAAGATAGAGTGGTGGGAGGGGGAAAAAGAGTAAATAATATGTGGAGATAGAGCGCAAAGAGAGAGAAAAATAGTTGAACAAAAGAGTGGTCTATAGACTAGACCAGGCCCCCTCAAAATATGTTAAGAAGGTAGCCTGGGCCCTAACTTTTTCCTATTTTAAAGGTAAATACAGAACGCTGTGTTCCAGATGCAATTTGATTGGTCAAACTACTTGAAGTTAAGCAAAACACAATTTATTCAAGCACTGTATTAAAATACAACAAAAGAAATAGGAACTTGTAATAACTTAACTCTATTGGAAAACCTAACAGAATAATTGATTGTTTTATGAGTAAACAGGTCCTAACTGTTTAGTAACTGTTCCAATATGGTAACGTCCCATAAACACACCCTTGGAAAATGGCAAGTTCAGAAACCAAGATAACAAGGTGTAGAGCTGGATGAACACAGCAGGCCAAGCAGCATCGGAGGAGCAGGAAAGCTGATGTTTCAGGTCTGGACCCTTCTTCAGAAATGCTTCAGAAAGGCCTTGTTATCTCAGATTCTCTAGCATTGGCAGTTCCTACTGTCTCCAAATTCAGAAAACAGATTTGTCTCACATGCAACTCTAGCAGCAGAGAGAGTGAAAAAAAGTAGCTCCCACTTGTTCCAGATCCCAACAACAACTGCTGCTGGAAACAGAATATTCTGGTTCTATGAGAGCTAGCCACACCCATTCAGGCTGCTTCTAGTATTCCAACTTGGAAAAAACACCAATGCCATCAAAAGCTCTAATAGCTCTAGTAGACTGCTCTTCACCTCTGCCTTCAAACCTTTCTTAAAAAAAAGGCCAGGACAAAATAACCTCTTAAAACCATAGTATCGTCACAGTGGCTAATAATCAGTCTTTGAGAATGAATAGCTACTAATGGGGACTATTAGTGGCTGAATAAAGGTTGCATGTAATAGCAGACCATGTGATCATAGGGCTTGGCGTGTGTGGAGTTGGGTGGAAAATCAAGGGAAGAGATGCTCAAGCCCTGAAGTTGCTGAACTTGATATTGAATCCACAAGGCTGTAGAATTCTCAAGTGGAAAATGAGGTGCTGCTGTTCTAATTTGCGCTGAGCTTCACTGGAGCGCTGCAGCAAGCCTGAAACAGAGATATTGGCCAGGGAACAAGGTTGTGTGTTGAGGTGGCAAGCAACTGGAAGCTCAGGGTCTTTTTTTATGGACAGAATGTAGGTGTTCTGTGAAGCGGTCACCCAGTGTATGGTTTGTTTCCCCATTGTGGAGGAGACCATACTGTGAGTACTGAATGCAGTAGGCTGGATTGAGTGAAGTGCAGGTAAAGTGCTGCTTCACCTTAAAAGTGTTTGGGCCCTAAGAAACTGAGGAAGGAGGAAGTAAACAGACAGGTGTTACACCTTCTGTGGTTGCCAGGGGAAGGTGTCATGGGGCTGTTTAGGGGTGTTGGGGGTGAAGGAGGAGTGGACCAGGGTGTCCCTGCGGAATTTTGACCATGGATGGGAGAGAAATATGTGTCTGGTGGTGGCAGCCCACTGGAGGTGGCAGAAAAAGCAGCTACTGATCCTCTGGATGTGGATGCTGGTGGAATGGCAGGTGAGGACAAGGGGACCCTATTGCAGTTTTTTGTGGGAGGGAAGAGAAGGGATGAGGACTGAAGCGTGGGGAGATGGGTCCTGTTGACTACGGTGCTGAAGAATCCTCAGGTGAGGAAGTAGGTGGACATTTCACAGGACCCCTTGTCAAGTTTGGCACCATCAGATCAGATTCAATGGAGACAGAGGAACTGGGAGAATGGAATAGAGTCTTTACAGGAAGCAGAGTGTGAGGATGTATAGTCAAGATAACTAGGAGCCTGTTGGTTTGTAGTAGATATTGGTGGCCAGTCTATCCCCAAAGATAGAAACAGAGATAACAAAAACAAGGTTGCTGGAAAAGCTCAGCAGGTCTGGCAGCATCTGTGAAGGAGAAAACAGAGTTAACGTTTC